CAGAATGGACGTAGGGTAGACAAATGTGTCCCGTCTACTACGCTAGGCAGTGAAACTTTGCACTCTTTTGCCAGCTCTGAGTCTTGAGGCTTATCAACCTTCGTCATATCTGGAGATATCCCGCGCTGTTTGTTGTGCCACGTTTGTGATCGACGCCGATGTACAGTCTTTCGCAGAACTGGGACCCCGCTGGATATGTAATTATACCAACCGTCTTTACGAGCGACCGGCGGCGTCCGCTCCAGACCGTGGACCAGGCAGGGAAACTAGGCCTTGATACCAGCTTATGGCCGAGTTCGTCTGGGCCTCTTTGTCTTCATAAAAGCAAGAAGTTGATCGTTGACACTGCGTAGAAGTGCGAACTCATCATAGAGTAATTCCATTTGGTCGTGGCTGTTAGCCAGGTGTTGAAGCGAGTCGTCAACGGCCGGACCTCAAGACCTTCAGACGACACTAGCTTTGAACGCATCGAGGGTATTGTATGTTTTACCTCTCAGTAGAGTACAGTGGCCTTTTCCCCAGGTTCCTTGCGCTTTTCTTCGCTCGGTCAAATTGGCTGGTTCAGGTGTCAAAGGAAGTCGTCAAACTTCAGACCTCGAGGGTAAGTTATCGAACAACGTTGAAAAAATGGCCTGACGCGGGCTGTGTACGTTTTCCTTCTTAGTAGAATACGAGCGATCTTTCTTCGGGTTCTGGGGTTTTCCTTTGCATAACAGACATAACGAGGGGCACCCCACTTGTATCCTAGTAGGTGTGGTGGTTCTCTCCCACATGCCGTCGCCGGTGTTGCCGAACCGTCGTAGCGCCATATCGTGGCATCTACAACCCCAGTTCCCGTCGAAAATGCTGTCGCTGGACCCTTGTCTTCTCCGTCTTCTCCGTGGTTGGTTGAGTCCCCTTTGTAGCTTGCTCATTGTCACTTGTTCATACATGGCCCGACACCAATGGATATAGGCTAGAGCCAACAATGTCACCGGGTTTTCGTATGAAACGTTTGAATGTCGTCTCCATTCATGGAACAACAAAGGCGTCGGCGCGGGCAGCGGGAGTCCCGGGCGATGGTCCGATCGCGGTTGGGGCGGATGGGGCCAGAAACCTCACTGCGGCGAAGTGGGCTTGGCCAACAGGTATCCGTAGAGAGACTACTAGTATTGATGGAATACGGCGTGTACTAAGAAACATGAAACGGAATAGTCCAGTAACCGGATGCGAAGAATACATAAATAAAAAAAGACCCTGCCATGACACTGTCGCAACGGCATTGCGTCAGTTATTATTGGCAGGGGGCACAATAAGCACAATCTGACTAGCAGCATACCCACCAGGGAGGGCTTCATTTTCCAAGACAATTTCTCCAATCCGGACCACCGTAATGCCTGCCAGTGCGATAATAATCATCGTAGAGGTCCCATCGAGGACTGAGTCGCAACACATACGCCAGATGCGTACACCCCACAAGCTCCGATAGTATATTTTGCAGGATGCTGGAGGGTTTTGTCGCTGGCACCATAACTAAAATTACAGGAACCATTGCAACACCCCGTAGGTCACCATTGTGTGCGGTCCTCATCTACATATCATTATGTAGATTGTTGTCGAAACGAGCAAGTGGTACGGGATGACAGAGCTTGCGAACGTGGCGCCGGCGAGCAAGTAATCCAAAGTAGAGAAGTATGGTAGCAGCACCTAAGAGATGCATGCCCCCAAACGTTGCCGATTGGCCGACTGGGGCGTGCTGGCCTTTCGCGTGGTTGAAAATGGACCGGCACGGCTTGATGACACCATGCAATAGCAATGGCGGGTACTGTAGCGAAAGAAGCAGCATTGTCATGACATAGCTGCCTACAGTGGAAGTTCAATGGGAAGCAGCCGGGGCGTCGTGGATGCGGTGTGTCCTCTTGGCGAAGAAGGATAATAAGTAGCTTCTGGCCGCATGATGTGATAGAGGCCAGGCCGGTGGCAGTGGCGTCTACTCCGGGTAGCTTCGGTCCATGCCTGGGGAGTACTCTTTTGGCCAGTTGGTGTTCGACACTCTTGACTTCTCAAGACAAAGTCAACCACGACCGGGCTCCTCATACTCTTAGCTAGCTAGTGTAGAACGACGGAAGAACGGGGATGTGGGTATTGGTGAGCACAGCCATCTAAGCGGAACAAGCCCCAGACTGATAACGACATCGTTTCCTTGGCGTATAAAAACTTTAACTGCTATTCCTGGACCCTTGATCCTACACTATTACCGGTAGTGCGAGTGATCGCAAAGCGGCCTCACCTACCCACCACTGTGGAGAGGTCTCTTGACATGGATCGGCATCGCAGTGAGGGTATTAAACCTACATCCTGATACCTATGTCCAGGAGTCTGAGAAGCGGGGATGGGGATCACCGTCGTGGTCAACAACCGACGATTTGGGACGTCAGATCAACTTAATGATGAGCCCGCCACCCCTTGCCCTATTCCTTTAAGCTCATGTCACAATGAGGGCGTAGATACTGAGACTCTTAGTCCTGTTTTTCCGTATCATTATGTGCCTGGACGACCTTGAGATGGACTCGTTACCAGACCCAGCCCTAGTAGATGGTAGCTGCAGACAAATAGGCTGACTTGAGGAGTCGATGGATGCTGCGTTCGCAGCCCCCCCCCCCCCCCCCAAGAGTGATTTTTGTATCTCGTGAGGCTCAGTGGAACAACTACGAATCACATCATTGGAACACAAAAGGGAATATTGCCTATGTGTACTTCCGTGAAGTACGCATGCGGCCAAGGAAAGCAATCCAGCAGGTTAGGTCAGTTTTTACTTGTGTCCAAGTCTGTGCCCTGCACCATTCATGACAGCGTGACAGTCTTGATCTCAACGGAACGGCGATTTGGGAATTGGGTCACAAGGCAGGCAAAGCAGCCAAATAGCTCAGCTTCTCCCAGACGAACGCAAACCATGAGAAGCCAGGTTCTGAAAATGGGATTCCAAACGCCTCTATTCCAGTAAAGAACGTGGGTATCACTCGAAGGACCCCAGATCGAACCCATGATACCCATCGTCAAGGATCTTGATTCTGGAACAAGACAGCTAGCTGTTCAAACGTAGAAGGCTTATAATGACCTCATGAGCCACTGGTGTTTGTCATGAATGATGACGTATTCAGCTTTGCTCCATCTCTATTCGATTCATCGGCCGCGGACGCATGCAAAGATCCCTTCAGCTGCCGCGGCTCTAAAAGCATAGGAAGAGATAGATCGGTCGTAACGGCGAATAACACAAGCATCGAGAGACGTAATACGATGCAAAAACAATGATTGTCAAGCGGCGATCACAATGGATACTGCGCCCCAAAGGCCCGTTGACTTTTCGGCTCTGGTAAGCACAGTGACACACTTTTTTTACAAGAAGCCGAGTGGAATCAAATACACATGGGAAGTAAATGGTACATACGCAAGTGAGGGGCTCATTCACCATTTACTTTATCTTCCCCTCCTTCAGAAGAATGGAGGCTACTCCCACCTATCAGCGTACATGGAATTCATTCCGAAAGTTCTGACCAACCAAGAGCTATCGAGAGCGTCTTCCGCGATGTAGATCTTGGGTGCCCCGCTGTGGAGTTTGCTCCTGTGGTGGGAATAATACCGGCATGCGTGGCATGCCGATGATTGAGACCTCGTTACACCAAGGCAGAAACGATCTGTCACACCGCGAACAGGACTATCTCCCGAACCGATCCAAGCGGGAGCCTAGTTTCCACAGCCCTTGGCTTGAAACAGGGCATATGCCCGTCGATGGGCAGTGTCTTCTTAAGAATGTCGCCATTGACACCGCAACTGACGGCAAGACAGACAAGCGTGGGCCTGGAACTATTATTGCGAAGCCCTTCCATTGGGCTCTTGAACACCCCCTTTATCAGTCATCTTCTCTACCAGAGTTTCGAGCTGTGAGGATCTGTTAGCCACATTATGCAACCATGTAGCACATAAATCCCTCCCCCTCGTTGTGGGGAGACGGTCGTCCCATTCGTCGGTGACCATGGAGACGACTCCGGGCGATGGAATGGTAAGGAGAAGGCGACTTTGCAGTCCATTGCGATCTCTCCCTGACTTTGGATTTTCATTGCTAACGACCGATGCCAACTACCGGTAGTCCGCCGTATTCAATAACCAAATTCAAACTTCGATTATTTAGGTTCATCTATGAGATGCTTCTGTAACACGTTTCTGCTACGGCAACTCTTTGTGGCAAACACTATGCATATTGCCGTAAGCCAGAAGAAGAGGGGAAGCCGTAATTAATGTATACAGTACATGAGGGAAGCGTAATCTCATGCAGACAGGTCGGCCACTGGCAATCCATTCCGGTGGTCTTGGTCAATTGAGACATCATGTCTGGTTGGATATGGGCCTGCTCCTGTTGCATTGTCCCACGTACACTTGTAGCAGCCTCATCTTCGACCCCCCCTCCACGTCTGATTCGGGTTGTTACTGCGGGGACAATCAGACAGGCCAGTCAAAACATATATCAGTTCTCTGTGACCTGGAAAGATTCCGGGCGGGTTTGTTAAAGGCTTGCTTTGCTAAAAACGACCGTTGAGAAGTTTTAGCTCGCGAGTTTAAGGCCAACTCCACCTAACGATATTACACATCACTCAAACAAGACCATACTCTCAATGCATGTATTGATCGACAGCCAGAGGAGCTGAGCGATTGGACGAGGGCAACAAACCTACCACAGGACTCACAATCAATTGGAAGACGCCATTTTCTACACGCCCATCCTCTCAACTAAACGAGTATTCATAGTATGTCAATGATGAGAGTACAGCCCTTCTAAGATTCTAGCATTCTAAAATTACCCTGGATTACAGGTATGGCAAGCAAGCTCCCATTAGCACCACTGTCAAAAACAACAAGCTTTGGTAAGCCAAGGATCTGCACGCGCGAGGCTTGTGAAGTATGCCGAGAAAAGAAGACAAAGGTACGTTTATGAGTAACTCTTGCAGATATTTGACCCACTTGGTCCCTTGAAAAATCATCTCACAATGTGCAGTGTGATGGTGAAAGGCCATGCTCGCGATGCGGGACTCGGGACCTGGAATGCCGATATCAAACTCAATTCCACCAGACAAGGCACAGCCTGGAAGAGGAAGTGGAAGAAATGAAGAACGCCCAGCGTCAACGTGACGCCGTACTCAAAGCTTTTACAGCACCGGGACAGGCCCACCATGTTCTTCGCCGATTACAGAACGGTGAAACGCTTGACAGGATATACGAGCATCTCGAAATGCATGGCCCGGTATCTCCGACTACCAGCCAATCGTTGGACCCTTTGAACCAGTTTGAAAACGTCAGCGAAGAAGCATCTTCAACTCCTACCGAGATGCCTATCTGTTCTCCGCAGACTTTGAGCCACACGAACTCGGCAGTTTCTGAGGGTCCAGAAACCAGTCGCATCAATATGGCTATAAAAAACCAGGACTCGGCATCGAACTGTGCAGAAGATGAGCCAGATAGGTTGATACCATATCTGCAAACGCCTACCTTCAGTAACACCACACTCACAAACGGCATCTATGGGCATCCTGCCACGAATCGCATGCCGGAGGTGCCATTCGGGATGTTTATGGAACGGAACACTCCGCTGATCTTTCCTAACGCTTATTGCCCTAATCAAACCTATCCCACAGACAATATCGGCAACATAAGCTGGTGGCATTCGGGCATTTCTGGCCCTATGCAACCAAACTATGTAGCGCCTCCTTCCACGAATCCTGATGTATGGCCGTACCATCAGTTCACAGGACCTTATGTCCTAAGTCAAGAGCAAGACAGTCAATCACAGCCGATTTCAACACCCCGACCCGTTCCTGGAAATTCGCCTCTAACATCCCATTCCTTGTCTCAAGAGAAGCCGCGCTATAGCGTAGCTTCAAGCACCTCCACGATAGGCGAAAGCCAATACCCGACCCTACCACCCCCGAAGAAACGAAAACTCCCGACCAAAGACCACGATTCCATAATCACCTCTCGCATCGGAAACCGTAGTGAAAGCAACAATTTTGTCCTAGAAGAGAAAATAGCCAAAAACAAGCCCTCGGACCAAGAACACTCATCCCGCGAGCGTGAGCGTCACAGGCGGGCCTCGGCCCGCAACTGGCAGAAACAGAAGCAACAGCTGGCAGAACTCGAGGCAGTGATGGAATTCGCCGAATCTCGTAACCGCGAGCTCCACCGCGAATACGCCGAAGTGTTGAGACAGGTCATGGATGTTAAGAACGCCCTCATGGACCACGCGAAGTGCAACCATCCGGAGATAAACAGCTGGCTGCATAGCCAGGCAACCAAGTATGTATTGAGGAATGGTTCAACCATCGTACACGGTGATGCACAGTCATGTTTTTACTCAATTTACAGGGAGACCTGTTGAGAAACCGGACACACGATCTTAGCGGAAAACACATTCTCAATAGAATCCATTTCACAACTACTGCGAACCTATTTCCTGACGATATGTGATTACCCATTATCCTACCCATCCCTCTGTGTGCCTGACAGGGAAATATGGCACAAAGAGCATTGATACCCAAAGCCACTCAAAAAACTCAAAAAACTAAAACTTGGAGATTCATAGAGGATAACAGAGGTGGGATTTTGATAGAAAGAAATAGGAGTGTAAGACGCCACCGTAATCCTTCCAACGGGGCATAACTATTGGTCGCCGGTGTCAGTTCCGCGCCCCCAACCCATAGGTCATGAAGTAACCTCGCGACTGGGAAAGGGAAAAAAAGACAAGACGGTCAATTTGCAACAGCTGGGACGTGGCAATTGTCCGTTGGCGTTGGCCCTGGTGTCTTCGGCCCGTTGGGGTCACAGACACATCCCAATAAGGTTACATGCCATTTCCCATCATTCTGCAGTCTCAGCGACCTCATTAAATATCCCGAAGATGGTTACATTCGGCGGCCATAGGTTGCCCCCGGCCTGACATCCGAGCTCATTATAGGCTAATGTAACTTGTGCTGACAAGCCAACGATTGATGGCATGAAATGCACTGATCAGACGAGGTCAATACTGATTCTGAGAGCCCGGAGTTCTCAACCCTTATGTTTTTAGGACGAGATATTTGTTGAAAATATTTGCTGATACATAAAATGATGGACCACTGACTGAAAAGTCTGATAGCTTTATCTGAGGGAAGAAGATTGACGTTATCTACAGCATAAATTCAGGCTCAAAACCGCCATCTCGCAACAACATTGCATAGCTAACAGAACAAGGCGACGAACATCTTTCCAGCACACAATGAACCTGCAGAAGGCCTTTCATTTTTGCTTACATATTTAGCCTCGTCAGGGAGTGTTGCGGATGTGACGCTCAAGTCCAATTCACATAGGTTGAAAACAGCTTCTGTTAGCATCAACTTGATGGGTTGGTTGTGACATCGGCGACAAGAGAAGACATTACACTCGGTGCCATGATTCATCGGATTCGGATCTCTTCCAGTCTCTCAGCTTGATACTGTCTAGCTTTTGTATTGGCCTAGACACCTTAACTGGGTTTCTCCTGTGACAAATATCTTAATGAGTAAGGATTGCTAACAATCTTGTAGTCCTGAGACAGTCTGCTTCACCCACTGAATTCTTTGTTACCATATGACCAGTCTCCTGCGTGATACAGCGCTATCCTATAGAATGAGAGGAAAGCCTGAGATGTACAACTCTTAACATGGAGTGGCCCTGGGGTATTAGCTTGCATTCATCTAAAGATGCAACACTAATATTGACTTTGGATGATAGGATAGGGACATGTGTCGGCATAATGATCAGCTCGATGGTTGGAGACGTCTCTCCAGCCTTGTAAATATCGTACTGCATGTAAATATAAATTACGCTTAAACGCCTGGTATCCAGTTATCTTCGCTGTACATGTATATGAAGTCATAAATCCATAGCTCTTGTTCAATCCGAACAAATGAGCTTTTCGCGTTATACTCGTGTCCATCCCCATGGTTGCCCATGTCCTCCCTTTCCAACTACATGTTTTACTTCCGTCTACTGTTGGTCAGACGGTTGACCAACAAGCCACCAATCGTGGCCTGCAAGGCATCCTTCTTGCTCCCGCTTGAGCCTTTGCCTCCGTGCGATCCGTTGGCGCTGTTGTTGAATGCCGCAATGGCCGCGGCACCAGCTGCGGCGGTTGCCATCCTTGTTCCCTTCTTTGACCATGATGTCTTCTCCTTCCTCATCCTCCAAGCCTCCGCCGCGCCAGCCACAACGGCAGCACTTGCAGCCGCCTGCAGTATAGCCGCTTTATCCGCCTCGCGATTCTGCACGCTTTTCGAGGATCCAGATGTCTTGTCCTCTTTTCGTCGGCTGCTTTTACCGTGTCCCCGCCGACGGTGCCGGTCATCCTCGCTGGCGGAGTAATCGGAGTAATCGTCATACCGACGGGCCGGAGGCCGGTTGTGTCTGTGGTCCTCGGACCGGCCGCGGCTAGGACGGACGGGGCTGGGAGTGTGTCGCCTGCTTCGGTGGTGCCCTGCCCCACCCGCATCGTTGACGCTGCGGGAGATGCGGCGTGACCCTCTCGGGCGATCGTAAAAGCGGTCATCATAGTAAGGCTCGGCGTCGTCGTGAACGGCCGACGCCTTATGGTGGCGTTCGTTTCGTGACGGCATGATGAAGGTTCCGAATAATAGGATCTACCACGTGGGAGGTGCCTGAATGACGTCTTAGGAGTCCCGGAAGCGGGACTACGATGACGTAGGGGCTCGATAGGCTATTGACAAGCTGTCTGCTTTGTTGTCTAATCTAGGTGCAGGCTGTGACGCCTTGATATTTTGCTGCAAGTCTGCTGAGGGTCCGACGAGCACGTCTGATCGAGGCTAGCGATTGGGGGCAGCTCAGGCAGGGAAATGGATGATTGTGGAACGTTGAATTTCTTGGTTCAATAGTCGGTAACCATCCAGAGAGATTCGCAACGTGAAGAAGGAGAACACGTTGTACAGAAGAACAGGGCACTGGCAGCAGGCGGGAACCTACTTCGTTTTGAAAGGGGACATTCTTACTTTATTTTCCTGTGCATAAGACGCTGGGAAACACCAAGAACTTTACTGGGCATTTCTTCCCTCTGGCAACCAGAACCCGACTCGGCAGTCCAAATCTTGATTTCGGGGCTCTGTTCCCAGGGTTCCGGTTCGCTCTTAGTGGCGGTGGATGATGTAAGGCATCTGAGACTGGGCGAGCATCACTGCCGCTTTGAGCCGCGGCTGGGGCGACGGGAAACGTCAATGTGATACGCCCCGCGCCTAGTTTGCTTTACTAAATTACTCCACTGGGCGAAACACAACATGATGTCAGATCCATCGTGCGCAGAGAAGTCTGTCTCGGTGTGGCCCGATATTCAGTAGTAACGTTCAGTTGACTTCTCGGTGAGGGCTTCGCGAGGTCGACAAGCCCGAACTCTAATGCTAAACTTTTTTCTGTGGACGCTGATAGGCTATAGCGCATAACTTGATAGGGCCCGAAACGGGAAACCTTTGGGTAGCTGCGAGACGGAGCTTCAACACCAGCAATTGGTTTATGCAAGTATAGCGGGTTGGGAAGTGAGCAGAGGGAGACCTAGCATCCGAAGTGAAGCTGTTCGTAACGGAAATAACTACAGAGTACTGCCCTGGGCTGTGAGCAGGACTATGTTCACGGACGCTTCTCGGGAAGTCAGGGAGTTGGAAAATCCTCCCATTGCCAGGGCCGGGCTATCAGACGATCGATCAGATACGATCGCTGTGAATTGCGACGTCAACTAAAAATCCAAGCTTAATGGAGAGTGGGTATTTCCCCTGCATTTCTTTTCCTCGCGCAATGCTGGTGCGAACTCCTTGGAGGCTGGTCCGGTCGACAATCTCCCCTTAAGGCTGAGGAACGTGGCGTCCATTAGCGGCATCGACAATTGGCGTGGGAACGGGTCTTTGTTTAATTGAAAGTCGCACCATTTCCTGCAGTAGTGAGGTCCGTTGCGCGTTGATGCGCATTTGCTTCGCGTAAATGACAGCGTCATAGATGAATAGCCAAGGGGAGAATGATATCACGATTATTGACTATGGTGTTTTGAGACCAGCGTACACAGGACCAGAGCTTCCTTCAAGGCGTTTGATAGACTCTCTATATGAAGTCTGTTGAATTCCTGGAAGAAGACTTCTAATAATTCCTCATCAGCCTATTTACTCCCTTCACTTTCTCTCGCCAGACTTCAACTCTTCGATATCGGTTTTTACCATCTCTAAAACAACACCAAACGAACTCATCATGTCTTCCAACGATGTTCCGACTGGGGAGGTCAAGGACAACGAATACGTCTCCCGCCAGGGTGACCGTCAACCCATCAGCGTTGTCGACGACGATGCTAAGGTTGAGGATCCCATTGATGATGAGACTGCTGACTCTGACGCTCAGCTTGGTATGTTTGTCTCCAATTAGTAGCCGAATATGTACTGACTCGGTACAGAGCGTGATGAAAAAGACGCTATTGACAAGAGCAACATCTTGGAGGAGCGCACTCGTGGTGCTCAGCCCGCTGGCGAGTACCGTGAGCCCGGTGACACCGAAGGTCTCGAGGACAGTCGTCTTGAATAGATTAGAAGAGAAGTTGAACATGTAGTCAAGCGGTACCAAATCAATATTACCATTTTATCCTCGACTAACTCCGGTCACCATCATAAGTGAGAGATGCCTCAATCGCGCGATGGTGACTCTTAACATCAACTAAGCGAAACTAAATGGTCCTAAGACTCCAATCTCTTGTCCATAACTAGAAAATGAAGTAAACTATCGATTCCAAAGCAAATATAGTACTGGTGGTTGGAATGATTTTTCGGGACTTTGACAACAATGCTTCCTATAACCAACAAATATTTCATTGACTGAGTCGATATCATACGTGATAAGTGATCAGTTGAGAGACATATGACTGAGTAAATGAACAAAAAACACCGTCTTGGCATCATAATTCGACTTAATTGAAGTATTACAAGACAACTGTTTCAAAAAATAGAGTACTGCGGTGTTTTTGATGACCTTGCATGGTAGAAGATTGGGATCTAAAATTTAACCTGGGATTTGTGATTACGTAGGTGTATGCGTGAAATGGAAGCATCCTCGTGAAAGGGCTGCACTACCTGATACATTGAAGAATGATAAAAAGCTGATAACGCCGGAGGGTATAGTGCTTAATCAATAGGTCCAGAACGCCCATGCTTGGTGCTGACCTTGCGGTATCGGATAACCTCGTGACCCTCCTGATCATAAGTCCTTTCGGCCACGACCTTATAACCACCGATGGCAGGCAGGAACTTGGTCCAGAACCCCCAGTAGACAACACCCAATAGAAGCACACCAATAACCACGATGGGGAAGACATAATACGGGTAGCCATCGGCGGTCCAGGAGGTTGTGGGAGGGATGAACGGAACGATGCATAGGAAAAAGTTGGCGAGAACATAGATAATCGTGATGGGAAAGTAAGTGTGCCAAGGTGAAGTCCAGTTCTCCTTCTTGTTCCACTGCAGGTAGAGAAGACCGCTATGATCAATGTTAGCCATAGCGTCAGACTGGTGAGCCGATCAGTTGGAAGACATACATGCCGACAAAAGCGTTGATCCAGGCACCACCTTGCGTGTACATATCAGTGATGAAGTTGTAGGCTGGCCCAGCTGGTGGAGCAACAAGGACGATAACGGTAACAATCCAGTGCAGGAAAAGCTGAGCGGTAGTTTAGCATAAGCGTCCAAGCATAGCTAGCGTAAGTGGGTAAGGGGAATATACCGCAGCAGCAGGAGCATTAAACGGCTTATTCGACGCCCAGAATCGACTCAAGGGCAACAGGCCTTCTTTAGCCAGCTCCTGGTTGAGACGAGCGTGAGCGAAACTGACGGCAAGCACGTTGCCTAAGTTGCTAATGGCAACGAATGCTGGCAGGGCTCGGGCAGCAGCACTGTTGCCGAAGACATTGCGAAAGAAAACACCGGCAACGATGACCTCGGAAGTGGCGAGCTCGGTCTTGGGAATGGCAGCAAAGTAGGCGACTATTGTTTCGTTAGAGATCGAACAACTTGGGCCCTTACTAGGGCTGGTATTCTTACCGTTGGCGAGAACGTAGAGAATTGTCACGCCACCAATTGCTATGGGAGCAGCAATGGCCAAGGTCTTGCGTGGATTCTTGAGCTCCCCAACGACGTAGTTGGCGTTCTCCCACCCCTTGTAGCTGTAAACAATACGAAGCAGGGCAGTTGCGTAGCCGTAGGCACCGCCGTTGCCGTAACCCTCTCCGTCCTCGATGCGGAACGCGTTGTCAAAGTTGTGAGGGTCCGGCACACGACGACGACCGGCAAGGGCGGCGAACCCAGAGAAGACAATGAAAAGCAAGACGACAACCTTGAAAACGCCCAGAACATTGAACAGACGAATGCCCCACTTGGGCGTGATGGCGTGAATGCCGACAGCGAATGTAGCACCGGCGATACCGATGCCGCGAGCGACCCATCCATCTGGCGAGCTTGAGCCGGATGCAAAGAGGACGTATCGGCCAAAGGCAAGGGCATTCCCGGACGAGAAGCCGAGAAGAACCATTTGTGAAGCCAGGACGCAGGACGCAAGGTACTTGGGGTGTTTGTAGGCGCGCTCGAGGTAGTTCTTCTCGCCGCCGGAGCGGGGGATCGCGAGACCGAATTCGAGGAAGACGCTCATGCCGCAAAAGGTGAGGATGCCGCCAATGACCCAGAGCATGAGTGCGACGCCCACGGAGCCGGTGGACTGGAAGATGCCAGAGGGCGTGGAGAAGACTGGTTCGGGACTGTGAGTACGTGTACGTGTTGCGGAGCTTCACCGCTGGGCCGCCCGTCCGGGACTTACTTCCGGTGCCAATCATCTTGTTTAGAATCAGGAAGACGGCGCCTGTAATACCGATCTTGCGCGACTCGTCGTACGCGTATGTCTCCTGTTGCTTCACCACTCCAACCTCCTCCGCTGAAACATTGGCCTGCGCGACGTGACGTTCCTCCCCGCCATGGTGATCGTGTTTGAGTGGTAAACTCATCGTTGGCGTGTTTGTGCGTTGAGGAGCTCCACCAACCGGAACTTCCTTCAACAGCGAGATAGCAGACCGGAGCTTCGTGCAAAGACGGGATGATCTGTGGACGGACAGTCTACCAGGATGGACTGCAAGGAGCTATATATGTGCGACCTGCAGATGAGCTCCTTGCCGCGTTGCAACCTGAGCGGGAGGGAAAAAAAAGTCAATGGTGAATCGGTGATCATCCCTTGCAAGCAATCTTTGAACAGGGCCCGCACGTCATCGCGATGCAACGTCACGCAAGGTTCGAACCGTGGACTGACTGGCTGGCCGGTGATACGGGGATGGAATTCCCATGCACCAGAGACCTGCGGTCGGGGGAATGAGAGATGAAAAGCGACAGGCATCGACAAAGCTTACGGCCTTCGGCGAACCAGACTTGGAGGGAACCACACAATAGCCTCATCGGTCTAATATGCGCTGTCACCCGCTCCCCCCACCAGACAAAGTCTAAAATGCTTTTTGGCGCGGTTCCAGAAGAGATCGTGCACTTCCACATGCGGCTGACAATAAGCGACGACGGGCAGGCCGCTGAGCGTTCCCATGGAGGGCGAAAGAGCAGTTGCCTGTCTGCCTCTTGAAGCTAAACCGGCATAAATGCAGGCGTCCAGTGACTCTTCTCGCTGATCGTGCTGACAGTACGGAGTACTGAGTTGTTTTTGGAAGGCTGGGATAGGTGATACAGGCGCCATCGCCAAGAGGACGTAATCATCTAGACTGTCTCGGCGCAGCGAGAGTGCCCGAGGACCGAGTCAACTGCCTTCCAGTCACGGAAGGTTGCTATAAGGCTCTGAAGGTGGCCCATACCTAAACGATCTTGGCGTTCCCTCCAGTGTTGGAGTTCAGAGTTTGCAGTTGGAGCGTCCCGGGGAGCCTGGGGGGACCCCAGGACCGCTGTGGAGCGGCGTGGGAGAGGCTGGGAGGGTCTGCAGCGCCAAGAAGGCCGGGTAAAAACAAGCAGAAACCAAAGAGACATTCGTTGATGGCGTGCTCGCGGGGTTGGGGTGGCGACAGAGGCCGCACTTAGATGTGCCAATGGTTCGCCGAGGAAGTGTTGCATTGTCTTCGCCATCAAGCTCGAGTTCCCCGCTATGAAAGGTCTGGCATCTTTCTTTGGATCGTTGCAAGCACCAGAAATGTCGATTGTCAACCTTCTTGGGCGTTATTTCAGCTCAATATGCCCTATTTACTTGAGATGCATGACCACGGAAGTCTACTGGGAATGAGATTCAGCACTTAAAATTAGCTGATGAATTTCATCTGAAAAAGCTCTGAAAAAGCAAACGAAGAAACGACTACCCAGGACTCTACGCATGATACTCTATGTGAACATCTAATTACTCACTCATGTGGCTATCATCATCGAACTGCGCCTCATCATAATCCCGTCGTCTTCAAAAGATGCATTTGCAGCACTGCGACGGGACATGTTCTGGTGGCCCATTCCCCAAGTGGGCTCCTCACCCATCCGCTCGTCTGTAGTGTGTTCATCACCTGTATCCCAAATAGTATTACTTCGTACTGAAGTATCGAGTGTGGATGTTAATCTAGGAGCGTTGAGTGTTGAGGGTCCGTTGCGAAGATTGGTATTTGAAGTCCGGTTATCTTCGCCCAGTATGAGAGTCAAAGGTCCTTCGTTCGGATAACGATCTCTGATGTCATCAAAGATGTCCATAATGTGGGTGAAATAGGTGACCCTAAGATCACTTTGGCTGCCTCCATAACAGTTTCGGCCCCATATCTGGCCAAGAACGCACTCGGTTTCTTCGTGAACCACAGCAGCTCCCGAGTCTCCAGGCATTCCTGGGCCTTCACAGACCCAATCAAAAGTCGAAACAATGTTAGCTTGTTCAAGATACCATTCCCTAGTTGGCTCCATGGGCAGCTTGCGGACCTCAGCCGGCGTCTCACACACCACGGCATATCTAAATCCGCTGCTCCGGCCAGTTGTCCCGATGATTTGCAACTGAGGATTTCCCATAAACTGACCTCTCATTAAACCCGAAACATCTTCGAACTCTATGCCGGGCGGAGCATATCGTAGCCGATTTTGCAGCCTTTTATCTCTGTTCGCAATGCAAAAGGCCCAATCTGTGACGACGTTCGTTGTCGTTTCCCCATCATGCGGGATTGCAGTTGCAAACAGCCTCAGAGACTTAGATGGACGATAGGTCTTGAACATGGGCCCTGAAAACGCATGAAGCTTTGCAATTCTTTTCGGGCTCTCGGTTTCTGGGCAGTCCATGGGCGCTGGGTGCACCAAATGGTGGTCAGGAACACCAGAACCCACGTCAAGAGTTGCCCAGTTTTGAATACCCTCGAAGAGATGCCAGTTGATAAGCCATCCTCGATTGTTGCCGAGCTTCACCGCAGGGCCGAGAGTCGCGGCGCCATCTGTCCCTTCGACACCAACAGAATCGCCACACACTTGCACCGAGTACTTGAACGGGTTTTTCGGCTTGGCCCATTGATCTTCCGAGTCCTGGCTGAGGCGTGTGATATCGGCGGTATGAATGATGTTCCCAACAAGAAAACGTATTTCGACCATGAGCTGCGGTGCATGCTCAAAACACGGCAAGACTTTGCTCTTGACCTCTTGATGAACATGCTTGGAAAGGATTTTGGACGTCATGACCTCAACGAGTCTTGTGCTCGAGTCGTAGTTGAACTGGATCGTGATGCTGTAGTCGCCGTTATAGTTGTCGTTCAGGGTCTTGCGCAAGTGCGGCAATGCTTCAGATTCCCATATCTCATTAAATTCTTTGGAGGTAGCAGCTCTTTTCCTTAGCTCCTCGCGCAAGGCCTGAAAATTCGATGCGCCCTTGGGAATAGTACGGATTCTTGTCGTTGGAGTTGGAGATTTAGATGGCGCTGTCATCGACACACTTTCTCGGGACGGCATATTAGGTGCTGGCCGCTCATCTTCTGTGTTACCGGAGGATACTGGTGGCATGGAGTTGTGTTTGAATGGCTGCATTGGTGCTCTGGAGCGTGGTGGTGATAACAATGATTGCGATAAATCTGTATGCCGGCGGCGTAATAGGGCGTCTTTAATCTTCGATGCTGCGAAGCTCAGCGAATTGCCCGCACTACTTAGAGTGCTGCTCCAAGTCGCAGCTTTCGCATAGGACCGTCTTCTGCTCGGAAGCGGCGTAGCTGAATTGCCTCCGTCCGCGCGTTCCGGGCTTGATGAGGCCCGCCCCGGGCGCGGCTGTGCAAGGTTCTCCGGAAGTATGACAGATGATCCGAAAGGTAGACACTGCCGGAATTGCCACCCTTTGCCCGCATATGTTACTTGGGGGCAAGCTTCGATTTTCTTGGGCTTGGAAGCTTTCTTCTCCCTTATACATCGGAGGTCAGTCCCTACTGCTTACACCAATCACTACTTGACTCACCTCTTCTTAGCTCCCTTCTTGGCTTTCTTGGTCTTAGGCCTCCGCTCGCTCCGCTGGCCATCTTTGCCACGTCGTTTGGGTATAAAGGCATCTTTGACTGACCCGACATCTCTCCATGACTTGGGCAAATGCATTTCAGGCCGTGTTGCAGGATGTAAGATGCGGTGTTACTGGCGTGGAACCCACGTTGGAAGAGACCTAGAGAACAAGCCCGATATCAAAAGCTGCTGACTGGAATTCAGTCCCCATGAGCCGGCGATTTCATCCTATGCGTAACATGATGAACTAAAATACCCCAGTTCAGCTCAGCCTGATCCATTTGTGGCCGCGGTTGTATCATCGAAAACCACATTGCCAAGCCCTGGCTGCCTCGCGCTGGGGCTGTGCCTGATGTGAAATGGATGTGGAAAAAGGGTTCCAGCAATTCCTGTAGCAGCCTAACTTCTCCTGGCGGCGAGAAATGACGCCCTGCATGCGCCAAAATACGCCAGCTGAAGTACACTATTGTCAATGCTTTGGGCACGCGTCACTTGCATTTCGAGGTAAGCTACGAGTTTTCTTGACCAACAGTATGGGGTCTGATTGGCCATAAGATGGTGCCAAGTCTGTGGATTCAGATGTAGGAGGCCACCTGCAACCGTGTGTAGTACTTCCACGAGGAAGAACCTCCACGCGTAGAACAATGCTTATCACCGAAGCTGATTATGATGGTTCTATCTTCTTTATGCTAGAGTCGTTCCTATTTATCTAGGTGATTGAACGAGTTTCGGAATATAATAAAGGCTCTGGTTACTACTTATCCTTTGCACAAGGTTTTAAACCAGCAATGCCATATTATGCCACTGAGATGCCGGCTTCCCCACCTAATAATCATAAGACATAATGCACATGCTGATAAGCTAAGTCCTGCAGTTGGCGCAACGAAACAACGCTCATCCACATTTTGGGGGAAACCAGTGTAGAATTCATTGGCTGGACAGAAATAAAGGACTCAACCCCGCTTCCATGTATTTGAGGAAATCAGAGCATAACTTCGAGAACAAAAGTACACTTCCGAGTTGCTCAAGTTGCATTCGCTGCCCAGTATGGAGTGCTCCATCTGCTTCAACCTCGGTGCTCAGGAGGTTGGGGGTCAACTTTTGAGCCGGAACCAGCGCTTGGTCAAATTCATCCAGCTCGGCGACTTGAAGCAGTCCGCAGAATTGCAACGGTGCCAGGAGTGCAAGCTACTGTGGGGAGCGCTACTTCTGCGCAAGAGCGACTTCACCGAGTCTGAACTCGCTGGGTACATCCAGTTGCAGTTCGCACCAAATAGCCCGCTGCTGCTACATGGCCCAGTGTCTCTTGACATCTTCTCCCGAGAGAGTACTGAATTGCTCCGGCTGTTGATAGGTGAACGATTGCTGACATTTGACAGCCGATGGCGGTCCGCGTCATCCGACCATAGGCCCAGCCAAAGAGGTCGAGAGCCACTCGTCTGCGCCATCCTGTCTCGCTCTGGCTTCCTCGTGGCTTCAAGATTGCCTTGCAAACCACCCAGCATGCAAACAAGCATCGAATCAGAATCTCCCAACTCGTGTGATTGATGTTGGTACTGCTGGACTCCGCGAGCCATTTCTAGTCGAAACACATGGCACTTCCGGGGCGTATGTGGCCCTGAGCTACTGTTGGGGGGATCCATCTGTCCATCCCGTTCTGAAGACAACACACAAAAACTTTGTGGCTCATAAAACCTCCATTCCCCACGCAGGCATGCCTGCTACCTTGCGTGACGCCGTTACTATCGCCCGTTATCTCGGCATTCGATATCTCTGGGTAGATGCCCTTTGCATCATCCAAGGAGACCCTGACGACTGGGCGAGAGAGGCAGGACAAATGTGCGAAGTCTACTCCAACGCTGCGGTAACCATATCCGCGGACCATGCAGACGGGAATTCTGTCGGGGTTTTCGCTCGACAGGCATTTGGAACCCCGCCTCAGCAGCTTAAGCTCAATGGACGACCAGTCTATGTTAGAGACAACTTGAAGAGAAAGCATAACGACGTTACCATACTGTTGAGGGCGATTGAGAAGGAAGGTAGCCATGCCGAGCCCATTAACAAACGCGCGTGGACACTGCAGGAAGCAATCTTGTCTAACAGAACACTTCACTACACCTCGAACGAGCTTGTCTGGGAATGCAACACCTTTCGTCTCTGCACCTGCCGCCGAGAGGATCCCGTCGAGCTGGATGAGGAATCCTTGCGATGTCTTCGCTCGCCAGCTCTGTTTCGAGAGATGTCAACAAGCAGAGCATACCTGCAGTGGCGGCAGATCGTGCAGCTGTTCACGGAGCGCTCCATCAGCTACGACGAAGATCGGCTCCCAGCGTTGTCTGGCATGGCAAAGCAATTCGGGTTGATGTACGAAGCTGCGAACGGGAAAAAGGACCGATACCTCGCGGGGCTATGGGAGGGAGACTTGGCGACGCAGCTGATGTGGACATCGGAAGATGATTACTGGCGCAACCCTGAGATCCAGTACCGGCGACCGAAAAAATGGCGAGCGCCGAGCTGGAGTTGGGCGGCGGTTGAGGGACCGGTACTGTTCCATCCGATGTCGCATTTCAAGCAGGACTTTGAGTTGTTGGAGATGAATGTCGAAGCTCTGACCCAGGCAGATTTGTTCGGCCAGGTTCGTAAACACGCGAAGCTGGTAATCCGAGGGAGTCTTGTTCATGGACTCAAGATCACGTCTCATACCGCCAAGCCTGGAGATTCGCTCATGGGATATGTGACCGGGGTCAGGTATGAGATTGTAGATACACAAGGAATGGGCCACACGGTCATCTGGGACGATGCATCTTCAGTCCCTGCTATCAACACTGAGGAGTATACTTGCTTGTTGATTGGAAAGACGTCAAACAAGGGTGATACACACCCTTATGTTGGCTTTCTGGTTCTCAAAAGGTTAAGCCAGGAAGTAAATATATTTAGCCGGGTTGCCGTGTCGTTACGCAGGAGTGCGCTGGATACAAAGGAAGAGGTAGGTTTGTTCAAAAGTGCAAAGAGAGAAGTTGTCACTCTTCTTTGAACGTCTGATAAAACCCACTCATGGCGCTACGCTTAGATACCAGTGGCAGGCTTTAAGTCTCTTATAGTTCCTAGTTAATCAGACTCTTCACAGCCTAGTGATAAGACTAAGTAAAATTATCTGTCACAGCAAATCAAACATGCGACAGAAGGAGAGCAACAAGGGCGAAATGACTGCTATTCAGGGCCATTTTTGGAGTCTACAAATAAGTGAGTATCTGAAATGATAAGGTTGCAGTTATACCGATTATTGTGCAGTCCTAGGCGTAAGTGCTACCTGGCACCCCCATCTGTGACAAGCAGTGATGGCAAGCTCTTCCTCCCAATCGCTGCCATCAAGGTTCTGTGCCTTTGAAACCCCTGAAGGATTATTACTGTGAGGTAAGAGGCCTCAGTCAACGCATACTGCTGGCCAAGGCAAATACGAGGGCCTCCATTGAAAAAGAGATACACCTAAGTGACTTAGGGGTTATCCTAATGCTTACAGTAAAGCCAATTAGTATTTAGTCTACATATATCTTCTTACTAGTAGATATTATACATAGAACATCTAACAGTAGTACCTTTTGCTATATACACAGGACTTAAGCTATTGGGGCCGGCACCTCTTGGGAGGGTTGTATTAGTAGTAGTAATGCGCGTGTTGGCTGGAACGACACAGTGAAGACATAATGCTGTTGATTTATGAGGATTAACTATTGTTTAGGTGGCGGGATGGCATTTGAATATTAGGTTCCCTAAGACTTACACTCACCCAGACACGCTTTAATATACGTCATATCCTTCAAGATGGCACAAATAGGACGGAATTGCCCTATTGAAACCATTGACCTCGTAACACATCTTGGACTATACATCAGGTCTCCTCACCTTGTTGTTGTTGTTGTTGTTGTTTTATTTAACGCTAGGCTGTTCCTGTATAGGACAAAGGGCGCCTAGGGTTGCAGGCTTCTAGCTATATACAGTAAAACTAATAATAGTCCCTCTCTACTATAATTAGTATATTTAAGTGTTATTGTCTAGTGCCTTTACCTATGTTCTAGGTGTTCTTAACTTAAATTATTCCTTGCTGTTAAGTGCCTATAGCTCTTTAGCTACTAGGATCTATGTAGTATCCCCTAGTTAACTTATATTACGTAAGTTAGCTAGGGGTTTCTATATACTTAGTTATATAGTACTACTTGTATATCTATATTGTTCTTAGGTCACTAGTTACTACTAAAGTAGGTAAAGGTACCTTAGGTATAGTGTAAAGAAGTTAGAAATAAAGGAGAGGTAAGTAAGTGTGTAGTTATTATATTTTTATTATAATAGAGAAGGTTATAAAGCGTAGGTAGTTCCTATATATCTAACACCTTTATCTAGGTTATATTAGTAGCCTAGGTAGTATCCTCTTTAGAGTAGTGTAAAATTAAGGCTAAGTGGCTACCTATAATAGAGCCTATGTAACTGCCTCTAGTTACTACTGCCTAGTAAAGGCCTATAAT